GAATGCGGCGGGAGGCGCGAGCCGGGGTCTCAGAGGGGTGTGCAGGGGGCGCAGGCCGGGACCTGGGAGCAGGGAGCTGGGCGAACAGTGACACAGGCCGGTTCCCGCCAGCTGTGACTGTGGGCTCCACGCGCAGCACCCATCCCTGCCACTGTCCACGTGTTAGCCCCCCCCCCCCCCCCCCCCCCCCCCCCCCCCCCCGTGGTCCCGGCGGGCACGCTCTGAACCTCTGCGATGCGGCAGGCTCACCTCTGATCAGCTCCCCCCGGTCCAGCTTACTGGTGCTGTGAGCGCCCTGATCTTCCCCGCGGACTCAGGGTGCCTCCCGGGCACGAGCAGAGAATCACGTGGACATGGCGCGCGCGCTCAGGCGCCCTGGCACGTAGTGGCTGTTGAGCCCTCTGGGCGCACTGGAGCTTGTCCCAGAACCTGCACAGTGTGCCTGCAGCCCTTTCCTGAGTGGGTCCTTCCAACCCTTGAACTAGAGAACTATTCCCAAGGGTCCTGGCTACTTCCCCTGGGGAATCCAGCGGAGTGGCCCAGGTGCACACTGTGTGGTCATATAGCAGGAGGCCCAAGTTTAATAAGACTTAAGGCAGGTGAGCCCCACTCAGGGTACAGGTGAGACTCTGAGTCAGCTCAGAAACCCAGAATGCATCTAGGCAAAGCTATTTTCCAGGCTGCCCAAAGTGCAGGAGGAATAAAGTTCATACAGCTGAGATCTGAGCACCCTGCCAAGAGGTGACCAGGTGCCCCTTGCTCCTAAAGGAGACGGAGGGCCCCCTTCAGCCCAGACTGAATCTGCAGAGCCAGGAACCTTTGGCCCAGCAGAATTGCCTCCCTCTGTAGGTCTGGGAGCCCTGGACCCGTCGCCAGCGTTCCCAGCTGCTGTGTCACCCAGCTCTGTTGGACTGCATCCCACTGCCAGTTGTCCTCTTGGCTTGGCACTGCTAAACTGCTCTCTTTCAGAGGGTGCCTTGGTGGATTGAATAACCCCAAATGTTAGTTACCTGTGCTGGACAAAGGTGAGCAACACCTCCAGGGTGTTTTAAACTTGTGAGTTGGGTGTCAGTGGGTTTAATTTTACTCATTGGGACACACAACTCTGTCATGTAACCTGGGAGGGTGCAAAGATATTTTTTTTTTCCTTTTTTACCAGCAGGTGTTTTTAAAATGTAAGAAACCTCCCTGGGTAATCTGGGAGAGTAGTAGCTGGTTTAATTTTTTTTTTAATTGATTCTTTTTAGAGAGGGAGGAAGTGGGGAGGAGAGATTGAGACATTGATTGGTTGCCTCTGGTACATGCCCCAACTTGGCATCAAACCTGTGACCTTCTGTTGCAGGGCATGACACTCCAACCAACTCAGCCATACTGGCCAGCGAGTAGTAGCTGGTTTAAAACACAAAATGAGAGAGGTGGTGTTTGCTTTTGTTTTGCTTTTGGGTCTCCAAACTTCCTAGGTGCTGGGAGGACAAAACCAGGGGGAGCCACTGGTGCTCCATACTCCCCCCAGGGCAAGTGCAGAAAGAGTCCAAAGGGGGAGCTGAAAGAGCCTTCTGGAGTCAGAGGTACAGGTCCTTGAGGAGGCCGCCCCATGATCCTCTGGCTGCTCCTGAAGTTGCAATGGGCTGGGGTGGGGTCAGGACACGTGGGGTCCAGGCCTGGTTTGCTGCTCACTGGCCCTGAGCTTGGGCACCTCACTTGCCTTCTGTGCTGTGTCCCTTCCCCTCATCTTCCTGGAGCCCAAGGTTGGGCTGGGCCTGTGTGGAGTAGAGCAGTCTGGGCTTTTCAGGCTGAGGACTTTGAGTTTTATCCAGGGACGCCGACTCCCTGCCAGTTGGTGATTACACTCACATGAGCTGAGTAAACTGACAGAATAAGACTGAGGCAGGTGAGCCCCACTCTGGGCAGCAGGGCCCAGCCTTGGTGACTTCGGGCCTGGCTTCTGAGTCTGCTCTTAAAAAAAAAAATGTTTATTGATTTCAGAGATGGAGAGAGAGATAGAAACATCAATGAGGAGAGAGAATCATTGATCAGCTGCTTCCTGCTGGCCCCCCACTGGGGATTGAGCTTGCAACCTGGACATGTGCCCTGACCGGGAATCAAACCATGACCTCTTGGTTCATAGGTTGACGCTCAACCGCTGAGCCACAGCAGCGGGGCCTGCTCTTTCCTTTGAACATCAGTCCCCACACAGGTGGCCTTCACTCTTGGAGATGCCAAGTAACGGCTAAGCCGCCCACTGTGTCCGGGACCTGAAATCTGCTCTGTAAGCATGCTTTGGCCCTGTGGTGCTCCACATTTTTTCCATGGTGGCCCTGTGGTGCTCCACATTTCTTCCATATTAAAAATGGACTTCAAATAAGACCCTGGATTTTTGGCCTCCGCTCCTGGGATGAGGCCAAACTCCTCTGCATGACCCCGATCTGCCCGAGCTCACTTTGCAGTTTCCGGGCCATCCAGTCGTCACCTTCCCCACAAGGCTTTGCAAGTGTGTGTACAACGGTGTGGACACAGTGTGGGGAATGCATAGGAGAGAGGCACATTCCATAGGGGATATAAACCTAGTCCCAGGCTCTCCTTTAGTTCAAAGACATGTAATCACGAACTGCCCCAGGGAGTCCCCAGGGTGAACTTTTAGTTGTTCTTGCCTGGCCTGCTGTTCTGTCCTGTTATGTAACTCAGCAGGAAGGTGGGGGCTGTGGTAATTATGTGACCCCGCAGGTTGAGCCCTGCACTGGGCAGTGTCCCCAGACTGCAGAGGTGGAGCTGGAGGGCTGGCTGTGAGGTCAGGTGCTTGATGGGTCAGCCCTGAGGGTGGGGTGAGAGGGAAGGGGCAGAGTTTGTAGGACTCTGAGGAGGCAGTTTGGGTTGCTACTCGAGAGGCCCTTGTGAACCCCGTCCCTCCGGCCCTGGACCTGGGTGTCTGCAGACACTCCCCCCACTCTGAGGTCCACCCGTATTGAGGGCTCCCTGGCCATCACCTGGGGTGGCTCCTTGCATGTCCATCCTTCTGGGAAGTGGGGCTGGTTCACCTATGTTGTGACCCTGGAGGACCGGGTGTTTACCCTGAAGCCTGGGTACTGGCTGTCCAGGGGGTGTTCTTGTCCATACCAGCCAGGAGGTCTGAAGCAGTGTCTCTTGGGCTTGCTCACTTGGTCACCCACAGGCTTGCCTGTGAGGCATGTTAAGGTGCACAGTCCTGGCCAGCCCAGACCTTCAGGTGGCCACGTGGGACGGGGCTCAGAGCTCATTTCTGACAGGCACTTCCTGTAGTTTAAGAAGCACTGCCTGTGGTTTCGGAAGCTGTAGAAATGAAACTAAGTGTGTTGGTTCTGGTACCTGAGACCTGTGCCATTGCCCCAGGATTTGGGGACATCAGGTAAGGGAAGTTCCCGTCGCTTTTGGAGGTGACAGGTGGGCCAAGTACAGGGCTCCTGGGGACCCTGGGCTTAAATTCTTGGCTGTTTGCCCATGCCTGCTGCTCAGGTGGGTGAGTGTATGGGTCCTCTGGTATCCAGGGAGCAGTGCACTAAGGGTGGGAAAGTGAACTGAGGGGTGTCCTGGAGCTGGAATGGGGTCCCCAGTGGTATGTGTACCCTGAGGTGGGCCGCTCTGCCTGTAGTACACCCTGTGGCCTGGGGCTGCCCCCTGTGTTGAAGGGGCCAAGGCCCTCCCAGCTATTTGTGCAAGTTCCAGGGGGATTGGAAAAGCAGCTGGGCCTGTGTGGCCTGTGTGCTCTTTCCTGGGTGCTGGGGGAGGGGACCAAGTTTGCCCTCCCCTGCCTGGCTGCTTGTTTCATTTGGACCCTTGAAATGGTGGGTGCTATCCCAGGATCCTGTAACACCCAGGCCACTGTTGCCCCCACAGCCCCCTCCCTTTGAAGTTCTTTAATTCCAGAAGCTGCCCCCTGCCCATGCCCTGCCCTCCCTTTTGGCCCCACAAACCCACCAAGCCTAGCTTGAGGGGTTTCACTGCCCTCCCTCCACCTCATTTTCCCTGAGTTTCAGAAATAAGCACTGGGGTTTAGAAGGCAAAGGACTCTCACTCATCAGACCACAGTTCCCTTTGCTGAGGCTCTCGTCCTGCCCAGAGTAATCAGAGGTCTGGTGAGCGGTCTCTCTCTGCCCTCAGTGGCCCCTGGGGGTCTCTGCTGTCCCCTGGTTTTCCTGGGCCTCATCCAAGGAGGAATGGAGGAACAATTCCTGCTTGGATGGTCTCTGAGCAGCATGCTGGCCAAGCGCACAGGGCATAAGTGCCCAGAATCTGGTGGCTTTTCCAGAGCACCGGGTCCTATATCTTGGGAACCTTTTGCGTCTACTGCTTGGGGGATTAGAGGAGATTTCTCCCCAAATGCAGACCTTCTGCAGTCACCCTCCCAGAGCAGGTTGTGTAGTAAGGGGCACAGAGCTGTCCCAACA